GAGGACATGTGTGCTCAACATTATGTTGTTCGGTGGAATTATGGATACTATATGTGCAAGACATGTTATGTTGTTTGCCCCCCAGGATTTTGTTTTCAGACTGTAGGGTGGCTGTTGTCTTGTTGAGAACATTCACTGTCAGATCAGGTCGGGCCCTGCCACAGTGAAATTATGAATCACCCCTATTCGTTATTCCCTTTTTGGCACCAACAAAGCATTTTGGAGATATCAGCCGGGAAATTTTTCTATCGGTTCGTATGTCCTGTCTTTATTTTGCTTTGTACTTGCTGACAATTTTCTTCCTTGTGTAACAGGTGGCTGCAATGAAGAGATCCTAATCTTCTCATTTCAAATTTTAACTTAGACAGCCTTTTGTCTCCCCAACTCTTAGTTGCTATTACTTCCCTTCTAAATAAAGATTCCAGTCCTTTGTTTGTTTAGGTGCTGATATGTTGGTGATTACTAAGTAGATAATATGATGGATTGGGTAGTGTTTGACAAGCGAGTATATTATGCGTGCAGGTCAGCAACCACAAAATCCGTTGCAGTTACTTGGGCAATATAGTGATGATGAGTTGGATGATGACTCAAATCAAGTACTTAGCAATGTTGCTGTAGGAAATTCCTCACCTGAGAATAATGATGAGGTAATTAAATGGATTCTCTACTTTCTTCCATGTCCCGTGTCCTTACCAATCTGGAGCTTAGTTTATTGAGTAGCTTAGTGAGTGGGGCTTTATTATGACTCTCTCTCTCTCTCTCTCTCTCTCTCTGATGTACTAATTGGGGCATGTCTCTAAGTAAAGCTAGGTACTAAAATTTAAGTTCTCTTTACCTCTCAGACCTTTCATTTTGTATTTACTTCACATGCTCAATGCTTTGCCTCTTTCAGGTTAAGAGTTCGCTTGGTGAATCTTATCAGCATATGGATACCAATGCTGACGAAGACCTTGCTTCTCAGAAGGTTAAGCAACAGGGAGGGGTTACAAACTCTGCCCCGAATGATTGTGACCAGAGCATGGAGGACAGTGATAAAAGAGAAAATGATGATGTGGCCTCTAGTGATTTACGCACAGAATTGTATTTGACAGAACAAGCCTCTGTTCCTGAAACTTCTAGTGTACAAGTCATTGGAGATGTCAGTTCAGGCTGGAAGATTGTGATGCATGAAGAGAGTAGTAGCTATTATTACTGGAATACTGAAACTGGGGAAACTTCATGGGAAGTACCTGATGTTTTGACCCAGGAAACCAAGTTAACGAGTGACCAGAAAATACCTACTGTTGCAGGAAAGTTGGAGAACGTTCCTGTTGGCACAGAAGAGTCTAACTTAACTTCTGATGTGAAATTAGATGGTTTTTCTAATTCTGACACAAATGAAGGGGCTGCCAATATGGTTCCTCATGGAACAGAATCGTATGGACATGGGTGTGGGTCCCAAATGGATCAGTGGAATCTAGTATGCAATAATCAAGCTACTCATGATACAATGGCTAATGAAGATCATGAATCAGGGATTGATCTCTCCTCTCGTCTTGTCAAACATTGTGAGGCTTTGTTAGAAAGATTGAAGTCATTACAAGGGTATGGCATGTTTTGCCCTCTGCTCCCAATTTTTTTGAATTTATTTAAATGCCCACATGGTTTTTTGTTTTGCTTCTGGAGATTTATAATAATTTATATGTTTCAGGTCCAAGGAACAATTGCAAGATCTCAACTGGATCTCAAAGTATACTTTGGAAGTTGAGATAAGACTCTTTGATTTTCAGTCCCTTTTATCTTATGGGTCATCCTTGCTTCCATTTTGGATGCATTCTGAAAGACAGCTTAAACGGGTTGAGAGTGCTATCGATGATGAAATGTCCAAAATTTCTAAATCTGTACAAACGGATGAAGTTGAGGCAGCTCATGCATCTTTCTCCCAGGGAGAAACAAATTTTCAGGAAAGCGTGGGATGTAAAACTGAAGCAGATCAAGTTGAAACTTTGAAAGATTTTCATGCTACCCCTAGTGTTGATACATTAGCAATAGTCTCTAAAGAAAGTTCAGGTGTAAATGCCGAGCATGTTTCTGAATTTGGCTCGCCTACTAGGCATATGGAGAGTGGTGTAAGTGAACAAGTCAATGGGGTGGCAGTTCCCATTGAGTCAACTACCAAGAATGATTTTTGTGCTGGGGAAGAGGTTGACATGGATGTGGACATGGAAGTTGAAGATTCAAATTCTGCAGGAAATACGGCTATTGCATATGCATTGAATGCCACGGAGTTTGCTCCGTCAGAGCAGCCAATTAATCCTAGCCCACCTTCAGCATACGCATCTTCAGTGCCAGAGGATACATTCACTATTCTACCTCCCCCAGATGAGGAATGGATTCCTCCACCACCACCTGAAAATGAGCAGATTCCTCCACCCCCACCTGATGAGCCACCACCTCAGCCCCCGCATCCTCCTTTGTCATCTTACCCTGAGACAGGGCAAGCTCCTTATCCAGAGCAATACAATTTTTCCTATCCAAGTTCCAGTTTTGAATATTATGGGCATACAGTTACTGAAGGCCCTAGCAGTACTTTTTATGGACATCCTGAAGGATGCCAAGTTTCTATGTCCCATGCACCACTTTACTATGCTGCAGTTCCGGGCACCTATACTGAAACTTCTCAGGCTGCAGCTAACCCTGTTGAGTCTGTCACATATTATGGGCTTCAAGATGGAACTGGACTTTCTGTTCCTGTAGTCAATGGTGCAGAGTCTTTACAGTTTCACAGTGAGTCTGCTCCTCTTAGCTATGAAAACCTTGCATCCAATCGTACTGGATCTATCAACTCCTTTGCAGGAGCAGGCAGTAGTGGTTCATTGCCAAATGTGAGTATTGATAGTTCTGCTGTTGATAGTGAGACTGGTGGGGCATCTATGGAGGTTCCTTCTACCACATCCACAATCCAAGCACCTGCAACCATTTCAGTGAAAAGTAATGTTCCTGTGCCATCAACTAATCATGCCCCTAGTGCTGCATCTGTTCCTGCCACATCGGAGGTTACTAAGGCTCAGTCTAAAGGTAAAGCTTTTAAACACCTAATAAGATGGAGTAATGTGCTTTTCACGGCATTTTTTATGTCATCCTACTTCTTGTTAATGTTCTTGATGGAGTTAAGCTGTGACTAGTTATAATTGGTTAGACAACCCATTGTGCAAATGATGCGTGAAAGAGAGTTGTCTCTCTCTCTCTCTCTCTCTCATCGCCTCCCCCCTCCCTCTCTTCTTCGGGCTCTCTACCATACATCATAAGTTAATAACATATACAGAAAGCAACAAGCCAACAAGTGTTCTTTTTTAGTTCAACCACGTGGTGTTAAACTTTTATTCCAGTGACATGCATAATTACAGGCATACTCATCATTTTCTTTTCTCTTATTCAGTTCCACGTACTAAAAAGCGAACGGTTGCAGTTGCTTCCTCCTTGAGGTCTAATAAGAAAGTCTCCAGTTTAGTTGACAAGGTATGCTTTTTGTGTCTGATTTTTTACATTGCTACTTGCATCAGTATAATTATGGATCACCTAATTTTAATTTCAAATCAACCAGTGGAAAGCAGCAAAAGAGGAGTTGCTTGAAGATGAGGAGGAACCTCAAAATGCATATGAGTTGTTTGAGAGGAAGCGACAAAGGGGAATAGAGGTTTGCTGGACTTTATTTGTACAAGTTACTGTGTCTTGGCTCCTTCTGGTTTCTTACGTTCCCTTTGTTGCAGGAATGGTATGCACAACAAATTACCAGCGGAGAGGCCAAAGATAATGCCAATTTTCAGCCTCTTGGTGGCGATTGGTATGATGACTTAAAATCTTACACTTAACACATTCTTGAAAGAAATTCTAAAGTTGCTGAGCTGCAGTAGGGACAGTTTAATATTTTACTCTTAAAGTCCAAAGTTTTCTGATATATTTATTATTTATTTGGGTGACTTGGTCAGTCTCCAAGTTTTCAACTTGTTAAATACAAGTTTCATATCATATGAACTTTCTTGATATTTGATTGCGATGTTTCATATAGGCGTGAGAAGGTGAAGAGAAGAAAAGCTCAATTAGCCCGCAAAGCAGGACAAACCGCATCAACACCTGGACCTGAGGCACCTACGGATGGGAACCAGAAGCCTGATCTGGCAGAACTCTCAAGGGGTCTCCCCTCTGGTTGGCAGGTATATGTTTAGGGGGGGCACATTATTTACTGGCCAGGAATTCTACTCTTTAACAGGCAGGATTTCTGCTTTAAACAAGTGTTGCTTTTCAACATTTCTGTTATGTTGCCTCCTGGAGTGAGAAGGAATCGAGACACATTAAAAAAATCTTTTATGGGAAAATTCTGCATGTACTCATAGTTGGATTTGTTTGAGTCTTGTCCTTGCTTGCTAGATTGTATGCTTATTGTCAAAGCCATTAAACGCTTCTTCAAAGCATGTGATCTTGTTCTGCAAAATCTGATTTTTTATTTTTATTAATTTTTTATTTTCAGGCCTACTGGGATGAATCCTCGAAACAGGTTTATTATGGAAATACGGCGACCTCAGAAACTACATGGACTCAACCAACAAAATGAAGTCTTCAATTTTTCATTTGAAGTTATTTGGTTGACTTGTATACCGTCCAGGTTGAATTAGGAATGTAAGAGGGCCTGTCATATTTATAGAGAGATCCTCAGCTACAATAAGAAATTTTGGGATAGTTATTAGTGTCGATTTTATCTTGGTCAGATTGTTTTCGGGGGAAGTTCCCTTGATGCATCCTTGTGAGAATAATTTAACTCTCCAAAAGAAGGAAAAAATCATTTACTTTTTGAAAAGGCCACTTTGCCCGTTCATTAACCAAGTACTTGGAAGTTTATCGCTAGGGGCAATAAGATTATAAATATGGGAAAAATATAGAGCTATTGATTGAAATTACACAGCCCAAGAATACCAGCTATGTGTTGATGCCCAAATAGCAGGCAATCGTACATCAAACAGATCTTTTTCCAAGTATAAAACTTAATTATTATTCATTACTCAATACTCAATATTCATTATTCATTACCACAGAAAAAATACAATACAAAATCTCCACAACATGTCCTCTCAAAACCCTTCCATTACCTTCTCCTATTTTCCCGATAATCACCCTCACTTTCTTTATCCTTTAAAAAGCTCAGGAAAAGAAGAAAGCCAAAAAAGGCAAATCCTCCAGACCAGTTGCCCCCACCACCACCTCCGCCGCCACCACCATCACCATCATCACCAGGAGGGAATCCACTTCCACCATCATCAAGCAGTGGGGACTTTTCCTTGCCTGTAATTTCATTCAACTGTTAGAGGATTTCTTACATTACTTCAGAGTTTCAAGAAGTAAAACAGAAGATGCCAACCAACATGCTCATCTCCAAGTAAATTCCAATTTTTTTTTTTTAATAGAACCAAGTAGATTCCAAAATAACCACCAGATTTCAAGACCTTGAGAAAAAAGGGCTATACAAATTAGAGGAACACAAATTACATTGTGTCGAGCAGACATTCATCTCCAAACTTTCAAAATGTGTTTTTTCACAACACTATATTAGCAAATAATACTAACTAATCACTCTTACCAGGAAGATGTGTAATTGTTGGAGCCTCACGGGTGACAGTCTGGGTTTGCTCTGCACCGCATCTGGCATTCTGCACAATAGAAGAGCAAAATCAACAGATTTCTTACACTTCTGTTCCTTGATAGAGGAACTTAGGGATCAATTTAGAAGAAAACATAAACAATAACAAATAACAAATGCTAGAACAAAATGCAGACTTGAACATACTTGTCAAGGAATCAGGAAAGCAATTTCATGGTGTTTATTTTAAGGGTTGTACACCAAAATGCTTAAAAATTTACAAACAATAACAATAGAATTACATAATTTCTTCGCCAAATGAGCATATGTGGAATTTGAAAACACAGGCAGACATACACACATACACACAAGAAAAAACTGAACCAGGTATCAATTAACTGATTCCAGGCATCTAGAGCCAATAACCAAACTTAAGTGACAAGAACTTTCAAAAGCCACGCCCATATCTTCTTCCGCCAACTTTCATGAAAAGGAATGAAATGGAAAATGCATCAGCTTATGCTACAGGATCACCATTCTCAAGGTTCATCAATGAATTTACCAACAAATGATAAAAATTTGCTTAAGACGAAACATGATCTCAAATTGCTATAGGAGAGTAATCTATAGGATATACTGATCCAGCATGCAACGGATCAAAATTATATCACCATGTAAAGACAAGGAAAGCAAGTAAAATGATACAAGATATGAAATAAGAAACTAACCGAAGCAGAAGCACATATTACAGAAGCAGACCGACGGGAACCAATGACCGGTTTTCTTCTCTCAAGAAGTGATAACTGTGCACCAAGCCCCACTGGTTTGATCTTAAAATGTACCATTCTTCCATCACCACAAACCCTTTTTGGCCCACAGCTAGAAAGCTTCACTCGTCCGGGGCATTGACCTACTGTTTTCACCGTACAAAGAAACATCATAACCGTAATAAATGTCATCAAACTGGAAATTCCAACAAACACAGTTATAGAAGAAATTCTTTCAAGAGACACTCTAGTTGGGTAAATTTCCCCGGTAATGAGCAAATAACTATGGTCGATACAAAAAATAACACCGTATTTGCTACAATCTAAATTAGGTGAAAAAGCATATCCTGATTTTGGAACTATTGGCAAACAAATAACAGAATTTATTATCTTAAAAAATCACAGAAACTTAGCAATGGGTACTCATAAAATACCTGCTGGCAGTAGAGGCGAGCTAACAATTGTACTTGCAGCAGTCAACATTGGCATCTTGATGATAAAATCACCTGAGAAGACAACCCTGTGCACATTAAAACAATAAAACAATACGCAGATATATATTCCTAAATAAAAATACATGCTTATTAATTAAGATTCAATTAAACGCAATTGAAGAAAACTATGAGCAAAATTTATCCAGTGAAAACTCAATAAACAGGGAGATATTGGTTTTGAGGGGCCTATCACATCAGTAAAACTCTAACTAATAGGCTGTTTTGGGTTTGAACTTCGGGTAAGACTAAGAATTTCAATATGCAAAATTCATATCTTTCAGGTGGTATTCGTCAGAACCCAATCTCCTTACCCGAGAAAGACTCCTCCTTTGAACCTCAGCAGCTACAGCAAAGCCTGAACCAGCGAACCCTTTCGGAGTTTACGGTGGTTGTGCACAAAGCCGAACCCTAATCTTCTGTAAGTCCAAAATTGAAGGAGATTTTGATGTTGTTGTGGGGATGGAGGAGGTGTGGAGGGGTTGGGTTGATTTCGCTGTGAATGCCAATGGAAGGCGGTGAGCGATGCCCGTGTTGGTAACGGTGTCGTTTCGTCACATGCGTGCAATCTTTCTTATATGTTTTATCTCAAGTATGGTCTGAGCCCATTTCAATGAACTTCCATGGGCTTCTAAATGCACCAAACAATTCATTTGTTTTTATTTTTCTCCGCTTACCACCCAACATTTCAATAATTACACCCATCTAAAGGAATTTCAATTTTGTCGTAAATATTGATCAACAATTTTACAAAATTAAAATGAAAAGAACAAGTACACTTCAATCTATTGGAAGACTTCTCTTTGAAGATTCAATTTCTTTCAATTTAGATGGATTCATGTTTATTTTGTTTCGTAGACATTTATGAATAACTTAAACTTATTGTGACAATCACAACATTTCAGTGATTGGTTAGAATAGACAAGACGAAGACTTGTGGAGTTAAAGGGAAAACAAGATGGGGAGTCGATGATGAGAAAGGAAATTCATTTCCATCTCCTTCTTTTTAGAAAGTCAGATACAAAATTGGTAATATGAAACTTGTGTGAATGTGATGATAAAAAATTGCAAGAAAATAGAATTATCTTTTTTTGGCCAAAAAAAAAGAATAATAACTTTTGTTTTTGGTGGAAATATAATTACTTGGAAGCTTAAATTTATGTAGTTTTTGATAAAAGCACAAAATTAACACAATCAAACCCATGGAAAATTAATGTGCTTTTGCATGAATATAAAACAATTTAGAAGAATCATAAAATAAAATAAAAACAATTTAGAAGAAGCTTCCTAAAGAGAGCATTGAGAACATATAGAATATCAAGTACTAAACCAATAATACTACACCCTCAAAAGTATCTATCAAAATTTTAGATACTAACCAAATGTTGGATATGTTGTAGATATAATAAGGTTATTGTTCTCTCCAAGGAAAGACCAAATTACTAACAAATTAATACAACATTTGTCACAATATCAGCTTCTTTTTTTGTTTTGTTTTCTGGTGATATGTTGATAGTATTATTCTTATGCTGAAGCAACAGGCATGCATGCCAACTATTTCACTCAACATTTTTGTATGAACAAGTTACTGGGCAGGGACTGAATCACTAAGGGGGCTAGACTTGCGAGCCCCCAGCTCCGAGAGGTTCGAGCCGACGGAGGCTCCCCGATTGAGGCCTGAGCCGAAGCTCGAAGTTCTGTGGTGCCTGCAGCGGAAGGAACCAGCATGAGTGGTTGGGGAGCAGAGGCAATTCTTCCACCTTGATTTTGAAGCATCTTGTGATGTTGGTGAAGCAAGCATATGAGAATGTTTCTTGAAATCCTCTATGCTAAATTCTGGTATGGTTAGGTTTTGACCCTTGCACTTGATCCTTGGGGTTCGGGGATTTTGTTCTACCTTTCCAGCCATTTTTGTCTGTCAACTTCAAGAAAAAAGAAAAAAAGAAACAATTAACATCTATATATACATGTCACATATGAAAACATGCCAAAATGCCTCACAACATTGAACATTTTCTGTATCATTTCAGATGATGCAATTGCAAATGTTATTGTTTTATCAATCAATGTGGTTTTCAATCACAAATATTAATTACAGAAAGAGGAAAGATAAGAGAGGCAGAATAGATAGAATATTGAAATTCTTAGCTTCTCATGAAACCAGAAGATAAGATGGGAATATCAATTAATCAATCTGAAACTTAAATTCACACAAAAGACATGCAATGTCACCTCTTTGTTCAGATGTGGGACTTGGAAATGGCAGAAAATCTTCCCCAATCGCCAGGCAAGATGTTTTCTGGCTTGTAGCAAGGAGAAGGGTGAGATGGTGAAAGAAGGTGTTTCACATTTATCTTTCTACCCACCCCCTTAACAAAGAGGAAAAAATCTTAATGACAACTATCAACAAATAAGCCAGCAGTCTTCAAATAGCTGAGTTTTTTGTTTCAATTTCCAAATATCAACAAATTTGGCAGCAGTCTTCAAATAGCTGAGTTTTTTGTTTCAATTTCCAACCACCTCTATTTTGCAGTTGCAAATTTGTGGTAACTCCTTGATCAGAAGTTTGTAACCACTAATTTCCATTTTTTGGTATCTCTTTTTATTTTTGTTCCAAATGGATAATACCATGAAAACCAACTCATACATACATGTCCAAGAATAAACAGCTTTCTGAGCGAAAAGAACCATTGGCTAATACACAGTAGAACTCAGTATTGTTATTCATAAAAATAGACAATCTCCTTCCATTCTAAAATTAACCCAAATGGTTAGTGATTCTGAATTTTTTATTTGGAAAAAAGGGAGACTAAAAGAAAATACACATTTGGGTGGATTAGGCTGTTGTGGCCATTGTTTTAGTCAATTGTTACACGTTATGCAGACTAGTCAACGGTGTTTCATTTGTTTGGGATGCTGAGGAGGAATATATGACTGAAACGAGGCATATAGGTTTTGTACTTCATGTATGTTTAGCTCTATGTATCTTAATTTGGATTCTTTGTTATGTGCATAAACGCATGCATGAAAGTGCAGGAAAAAACTTGTATGGAACAATCCTATTGCACCTCCCCTCACATAATTTCTGAAAGAGATGAAGAACTCAGAGAGAAAGAGAGAGAGTTAGTAACCCCGTTACAGGTAAGCCCTATAAGACACGGCGCAATAGGCTCTGCCCATCACAGAAGCTTTGCTTGCCAGTGCAGGGAGTTGCACTAAGACAGGAAAGTAAGTTAATTTTTCTTCGGGGAGGCAGAGGTGCAAATTAGCCGGTTAATGGTGGTTGAAGCATGGAGTCACAGGAAGTAACTTTACCTGTGGATACAGTAGTGTTGATAACATGGCATGTGCCTAATTGATGCATTTGACATATCAATGCTAATATCACATTGATCTTGGTTGGAGTCACAGGAAATGTCTAATAGAGCACAGCAGCCTCAAGGTTTTTTTTTTTTTTTTTCTTTTCAAAAATGCTAAAGCAATTTTGATTACGTAATTTCTGGGTGAGCAGTGATCTATAGGCCTATAATACTTTAAGACCAAAAAGATGAAATCAGTTTTACAACACATTTTAAAATACAACGATAAAATAGTCACCAAAATTTGCAAATTTTTTGCCTAATCAATTCAGCAGGTGAGTTTTTCTTGAGAGAGCCAAAGGAGGAAAACTAAAGGATCTAGATGGGTTACAAACACACTTTGCCCTTTTCTTTTATTCTTCTTTCTTCGTCTTCCTTTATTCTGCTTCCTTCGTTTGTTACTTTTGCCTCTTGTATATCTTTGCCAGGAATGATTTCAACACTGCCTGTACCGCTTTACTTGAATGAGATTCAATGGATTTTGTAAGTTTCTGATAACTGCTGCTCTCATACTCCAGAAATACACCCTACAAACCCCAAGTTAAATGCTATGTTAACATTAAATGATTGGTTCCAACTCAAGAAATATGCAAAAGAAGCAAACTCTTGATAAACCTATTGCTCCCAGAAAATGTAAAGCTGAAAGAGTAGACAGGGAGAATAACCTGAATATCAAGGACTTTATATAGCTCTTTTACTTTTTCAATACATATTTGATCATCTTTCCCGTAGTTCTCCTGGTAACATAACACAAATACAGATAAATGTAGTCAAAAATTATAACACCAGGACATAGTATACGATTTATAGAAATTAAATTTTCTTGCTTACATGTAATAGTTTTTTTTGTTCCTCGTTGGAAAGTTCTAAAGCTTTCACAACCACCCAAGAGCACTTGAAGTCTTGAATATCTGTCCCAACCTAATATTTCAAAGGACAAACAGTTAGATCTCTCATAACTCTCTGATGGTAGGGAATTGCATGACCAAAAGCCAAATGAATATAGCTCAACAACATACCTTGCCAATCACTTTGGGATCACCAAAGCAGTCCAAATAATCATCCTACGAAATACATCAGCGTATCATTTAGTTATACAAAACAAAAAAGGGCAATAGAAAAATATGTGCTGCTTGATTGCCGGGAAGACATAGTGAAGGAAGAAAAAAAACAGTGGTCATAGATTGATCTCGGAGCTGTAGTTTTGGCGTCCCCCCTTTCTTTTTTTCCTAGTCTTCCTAGAGTTTATCAGCTATTATGGTAAATTAACTATTACCTGTACTTGAAAATAGGTTCCCATTTCAATAAGAATATTCTTCACATCAACATGGCTTTCAAGATCTTCGCCTGCCATTAGCAACGCGCATGCTACCTGAGTGCATACATTGGCCATAAGCAAGATATCTAAAAGAACATTCACTAAATCCAGGCATGATAAGCATGCTTTTAAATATAAGTAGACATAGCAATTATATAGAAAATGTTAGTTTCATTATGTGTTTAGGAAGATAAAATGACAAGAATCTAGCAAGACTCTACGAAATGAGTCATTTGCAACTTGGAGGAACTGAAACCAACTTCTTTTAGAGAGAACAAAAAGAAAATCAAGAACTCTGCTCTATAGAGGTTATGAACTACTTCAATATATGACCATCAGCAACCAAAAAATTCTTCAAAAGTCGCAGTTCCATTCACATAGAGAAAAAATCCTAGACATGAACAGCCTTACATTACACGCCAATAAAGACAGCAATTTTTCATCTACACAGACAACCATCGGTTGTAAACATCTCTAAAGACAAATTGACCATCAGAGGCACTTTGACCATAAAGATGAAAATGAATGCATAGAAAGGAATTTGTACTCACTGGAAGGTAAAATGAGTAATAAGCAGTTTTGTACTGAACGATGCGGCGGTGACTGCATGATTACACAACCATTTTAGATTTAAAAAAAGTAAATAGATTTAATTGAAAATAATTTATATAAGAAAGAAACCATCTCAATTTTCACTTACAGTGCCAATGAGTACTTAGACAGATCTTTCTCTCCTTCATGAGTGGTAATTAAATCTATCAATTGTCCATGGGCTGTTTGAAATTCCACCTGCACATCAATGTCGATGATTGATGCATGGTTAAAATGAAAAAAACAACTTAGTGGTCCTGGTCTAATGTCTATGTAAAGACATCCCTACCTCATTAAATAAATCTAGCAGATCCACATAGTAGGGCCTTCCCCTAAAGTGCTTTTTGAGAACTCTCGGGATATGGTTGCGCAGTAGTATGCCATCATTCACAGCAATCATGCCAATCTAATATTAACAATAATGGAAGTTAGAATTTTCGAAGCAATTAAAAAGAGAACTGTACAAGGAAAAGAATCACTCTTGGTAGAGGCTCACACCTTTGGTAGTCTGAACCAGCAGGGCTGACCCCTACGTGTATGAGAGCTATCCATGATATCATCAAGAACGAGAAAATATGCTTGAAGCTGCAAAAGTCAATGAAAAGAGGAGTCAAAATCCCATTGCAACTAATGCAGAGCAGAATTGCTGAGGTATGATAACCATTGTGATTAATACTAAATGAGAAGAGAGGGGGGAAAGAAAAATGGCAGGAGTCGCTATGTAGACATACCCATTCAATACACCAACCAACTGCTGATGCATGAAAAATTTCATCATCCGTTAGCTCCCTTCCATCCTTAAGTAACTTCAGGCTGTCAATTACGGATAAACCTCGATTCAGCTTTCCTGCCATGGTACAAGTTTATGAGCAGAAGTTCTATCACAAAGAGCTCGAAGAAAAATCAGAAAATGTAACATGTCTATACCTCCTGGCACATTGTAGTCCAGCATCTGCAACAAAAGGGACACAAACATTCAATTAGGAAGTTTACTTGACTCAAGCTTTACTTAGCCCAAGCAATGCAAATATCAGTATGAAATAGGAATTAAAATGATTAAGAGCAACAGCATATTGAGAATAAACTTGTGCCACTGCGTAGTTAAAGAAAAATACACACCTTGGACTTCAAACACACACAAAAACAGAGATATGCATGTGAGGATCTACAAATGCTAATATGATTGCCCCTTCAGGATGGACAAATTTTGCACAAAAGGAGATCTTGCCTATGGTTCAGACATGACTCTGGTTGCTATATCTCATCTCGCATGTAAGTCAACGTGACGAATCTACACAGTACAGCGTGTCATGTTACACCTTAAAGACAACCTGGAGCATCTCCCATTGTACCCTCTTCAATGTTTGGACTAAATATCGACTCAGCACATTGATTCATTTTAACATTTGCATTAATCTAATTTTTTGATAATTATGTATTACATCTTAATTGTATATTTGTCAATCTGTAATCAGAAGTAACTGGTATAACTTTTCTCCTCTTTTTAATTTTCCCTTTTTATTTTGGCGATTGGTATTCACAATAAGATATAAGACTGCAAGGTTTCTTGCTCTGAATCTGAACTAAATCATGGTAATTGAGTGTCTTGAGTATTATGGGATCGGGTGGTTCATGTGGAACAAAAAAGCCAAACAAACAATGGCAGCAAGCAATGTTGTCTTACTCTGACCAAAAAGAAAAGCTTTCAAGCCACTCCCAATACCAAAATTCTTATAAAATTTGAACTGAATCTCAACAATCTTTGTCTAACAAAAGTATCCCATCAAAGTTTTCAGCCAAAAAATAAATTTTGCTCGATTCAATTAATTTTCTTTCACCAAAGTGAAAGATTCCTTCCAAAACCCAAATAACACCCTATTACATTATTGAAAAAACCAAAAAAAAGGGAAATCTACAAAACTTAACTGAATGTAACAGCGCATTGAAAATAAATAATAATAAAACTCCATGTTTCAAAGCTATCTATGCACACATTGAGACATGAATTAGAAGCATAATACAGAGATAGATGGAAGTACCCGATCAACCCATTGACGAGAAACGTCCGTGAATTCGAAAGCAGGGTCATTGAGAAGTTCAGATTTCAAAACAGAGTAGACCTCCAAGAATTTAGACCTTAAATCACTCATTTTTTCCACACAGAAACACACAAGCTCAGAGAGAGAGAGGGTGTGGAGTGAGAATGCAAAGGGTGTGAGCTTGAGCTTTAAACGAGAACGTAGGAAAGGGAAGAGTCTTGTAATGCCAGCCGCAAGCTTTGAACTCTATATAGAGATGGGCAAGTCCCATCTGGTGGGCTGTTTGATACTTGTTTTTATGTCTTTTGTTTTGGAGTGTTTCCATAAAATTTTAAAAAAACAAACAGAAAGAGAGATACTATAGTTCAAATTCGATACAAGAATTTGTATCTTCATTGGACTTTTTTCTCAATAAATCGCATTGCATAAAGTAGACACGAGATGAGATCTAAGAATCCTTTTTAAAAAAAATTCCAAATGAAATCAAATTTATTATGGTTACTAGTTTATTGGCACGCTTTCCGCACATAATAATTGGTATTTTTCAACTTATAGTGTGATTAATTTACTCTAATTATAGTGTTTTTAACTACAGTATTTTCAATATTTTTAGAAGGGTTCAGATATTTTGGTGAAAAGGTCACTTATGTTTTTATTTTAAAAGAAACAAAAAAGCCAAAGACAGATTAGGGGACAACATAGGTGTACGTAGCTTACGTTGCCCGTGAACTTTGGGTATCTCAACTTCATTGATATCTCACCAAACCATTGTACTTGTCAAAATTGGGGAGCCAACTGCCAAGTCAACTCCCAAGCCATCTCTACAAAAACGGCGTCGTCATTATACTCTGCCAGCCAACCACAAGACACGTAGGTTAGGAATCATTATATGAGCTGGCACTAGGCTTCGCTGTTAAGTTGTTAACTATTGATGGAATTATTTTCTCGATACGGATAGTCAAACAACAACAAAGATATTATTTCTTTCATAAAGAACAAGATACAATTTCTCTACCTTAGTTAATATAGAGTTAATCTAACCAACTGTCAACTAACTATAACCTAACTGATGGTTAACAACAGCGCCAGCTCATATAGAGATTCCTATCAGTCTGCTTGATTTGCATGGGCTCAATTTTTATGAAAGAGCCCGTTTGTCTCAACACGGAGGCCCGTTTCTGTTTTTTGGCATTTGGTTGAACTAGAGTGATTTGGATTTGCCGAGTCCATGACTAATCTGACAGAGATGGTACACAAGAATCAACATCCAGAATTTCCTACAGAGTCTATGAAAATTCTCATTGAGCACAACTTTGCTTCATATTAATAATTCTTGCTGCTATTGTTTGAAGTAGATTTTCAGAACAGCCAACGCATTGAACTACAAACAGAAAAGCATAGAGACTGTAGAAAAGTACCATATAATAAAGCTCAAACTTTTGAGATCATTACAAAGATTGATGCATTCTTTTCTTTAGTGCATTTGTATGTACATGTATTCCACATATCAATAAAAATTCAAAAAGAATGTATTTTTTGGTACATATTGCAGAAAAGAAAAATCAAAGATACCGACGATTCTCTCGCTGTTTGTATATTCAAAGATTATAAACTTAGGTATAGTTTGGTTACTGGTGAGCTCCACTGTACAAGCAATAAACTCGCTCGAGTAACCATGTAAAAATCACACCAAAAGTATAAGAAAACCAAAAAGAAAAAAACAAAGCTCGGTCAATTTGATGTCTTGTTTCCTATCTCTGCAGTTCTTGCTTGCAAAGAGGACAACAAGATATGATCCTGAGCCACTGATCAACGCACTTGAGGTGAAACATATGCGAACATGGCAACTGCCTTACTTCTTCCGTGTCTTTATATTTAGCCAGGCAAATACAGCAATCCTGTAAACACAAGAAAAGGATTAAGAGACAAACTAATCAGCCTTACAGAGGAGAAACTGAGATTCTCATGTGTGAAGAAACCCCAAGCAGGACGCATACTATTTGCAAAGCAAGGCCAGATTTAGTTTTGTATGTACAACTATGACTTACTGGATCTTCATTTGCAAGGCATCCTGAATCACAATCATTTCCGAGCTCTACTTTGGTGTTAACTTCTTTATATCTCCAGCTGGGAAGCTGAGAAATTTGGTCATCAGATGCTGCTTTATCAATGGACCCCATGTTCATGTTGTATCCAAGCAGGCTGCTCATTAGGGGAACACAGCAGCATAGCAGCACAAACAGCAGGAAGGGAAAAGAGTAGCTGATGGCATTCCAAGCAAGCAGAGAGATGCAGAGCACATGGAGTTTTGGAGCTCCAGGAAACGAACTAAAGCGAGAATCGAAGACCCAAACATTACCCATTACAAACCATATTGCAAAGAATAGCTCCAGTGAGGTCCTACACCTGTTCATCAAATGTGTGGTCCTGTAAGTTACACCATATATCAGAATTTGAGATGTGCAAGTTTCCATATATTTTACTCTACAAATATGTATCCAAATCTTTCATCACAACCATAATAACTAAAAGGAAGTAACGGAAGCCTAGAAAAAGTACCTGGATTCTTCAGTGCTTCTCTGCTGTTCCATGTCAGAGAGGTTGAAACCATCCCCTTGAGACAAATAAAGTAGCCTGTAACGCCCGAAGAGCACCAGCAAATTGAGAACACAGCCAATATCATACCCAACAATCCAAATTCTCATAGGCCAAACCGGCCTCTCCTTCTTTGAAACAGCCAAAGTAATTGTGGTGATACTTATTTGAACAACCAAAGCAATAAATTCCAGCATCATCCAAGTGCTGGAATTGAAAGGGTTTGACCCAAGATCAGACCTTGAACCATTTTGGTAGTGGAATACTCTTCTTAAGAAGATGAACCACCTTGCTCTTGATATTCTCATAGCCATTCTCATTAAGAATGAAGAAGGGGGAGCTCTAGAGGACCTGGTCCTGATTACACTAACAGCCGTCCGATCATCTCCTGGAGAAGTTGATGAAAATGAAACCGCACTGCCAGCAGAGTTACACATGGGCTCTGATGGAAAAAGGTAACGGGTATTCATCGAGAATGATTCTACTGGCCGCTATATATATGGATTTAGAAAAGTGATATATGGTGTGAACTGAAATTTGGAGACTAACATGAAATATATGAGACTTGTATCATAAAAGTTGTGCTGGGAATTTTCACAAATATGTGGCTTGCAGTTGGCTTTGTGGAAGGAAGCGTTGTATTAGGATATTCATGCAACTTCCATGTTTTCTTCAGTAATTGTCATGCATGAGAGTTCAATGAAGCAAAAGGTGAAAAATACCATTTGGGTTGAGCATCCAAAAGCAGTGGATCTAGAAGCTTGTATCTCCAAGGCCTTAAAGCTTCAGGCTTCAGCTTGGAACTAACATCTGCAGCTCAAAACCCCAGGTGATCAGAAACTAAGAAAATCTCTTTCCTCTAAAACCAACTCTAAATATCCCAATCCAAATAAAGCTTACAGCTTTATGCTGACAAAACTCACTTAGGCACAAACTTCTTATGGCTTCCTTGGATATATTACCTCAAATTGAATACCCCAGAAAATTAATCACCTTTCCATCAAAATTTTCAAAAACCCACAAACCCAAACACTTTCAAGACCTCAATCTCTCACCCCAAAAGCACAAAACATGCAGAAGAGGTCAAAAGCTTTGTTGGGTATCAAAGGATGGACCTCAACATGAACAGAATGAAAGAAACTGAAGTCTATAAAAGGGGGTATTGAGTAACAGGAGCAGCCAGCAGATGGGTGTGAAGAGCATGTCAGGAAGGTGAAGTTGGGTCTTCAGATGGTGACCGAAAATCCAACTGCTAAAGGGCTTTGCTTTGATTCAAAGAGAATCAGAAGGTTTGGAGGGAAGGAAGCTAACCGTTGGCCTAACTTCCCTCCTGCGTTTGTTTATTATTAAGCAAACAAAAGTTGAGAGCTACTTGGCTGCGTCGACTGCAAATCTATCTTTATCTGCACTGCAATAGAAAATTAGGAGAAAAGCAAAGATATTTTTTTAGAATTTTTAAGTTGATATCTCGTTTTCAGAGTTAATTGGATGAGAGAAAAAGTGTTAATTTGAAACTTAAGCTCAGTAATTTGTGTTTAAGCTGTTAATTTGAATTCTGGCGGGTACAGTGCCCTGTGACATTTTTGTGCCAAGCGGTTGGCCACCTAATCCCATCAGTAGCTGCATTATTTTGGAGTTCCATCCATGGACCCTCTTCTGAGTTATATTTTTCATGTAGGCCACACCATTCTGGCTTGCTGTCCAATATCTAAATTTTTTTACCGTTACTTATCCTGCTACTATGCTTTCTTCTTTTTTCTTCACATGAAACCAACAACAGACAATTTGGTAGGTCATATTTTGAAAGAAAATACAGGGACCTCTTCTTATAATGTTTGGTGACGGCGAGAATATTTTTGTTTTATTTTTATTTTTTTTGTAATTACTTACCCTTTCTATAGTTCTATTGTAATTACTTGCCCTTTCTATAGTTCTATTGAAGAATAATAAATATTAAAAAATTATCATATACTTTGTTTGGCTTTTTCTTATGATTATGTTTGTGTCTAAAATGACATAATTTTTGCAAAGAACCTAATAGTGTAGTGGTTTAGAGCAAATGTTTTCCTATGAAAGTTGTAGCATATTATCGACCCTCCCAATAAAAAAAATTCCAAAAAAATGACATCACTTTCGGATTTTAAAGATAAGTCAAATCTTTTGGACGTAAGATTTCACATCGACAAGATAATTGAATAAAATCCAAGTTAATTTTCTCGTATTTTGCTAAGCATAGCAGTTCAAGGATTGTGACCCTTGCATGTTCCAAAGTAACAGAATTGTAGACGTGTCAGTCAATTAGGCCGCGTTCGGTATCGTTTTCACGGCCCGTTTTCTGTTTTCATTTCCTGTTTTCTAGCAAAAACCTGTTCGGTGGAACGTTTTTGTTTTCCCTAAAAATATTTTCCGAAAACAAATCCAATTCATGAACAAAAGTTGAAAACGAAATTATGTTGTTTTCGTTTTCAACGTTTTCATTTTCAGTCCATACTATAATTCATTTTTTCCATCTCTCTTTCTCCAATCAACATCGATTCTTGTCTTTGAAATTCTCCATAGCTATTCTTCTTCTTCTAAAATCTCTAAAATCGTGATTTACTTATCAAGCACCAGACCCAAAAAAAAAAAAAAAAAAA